TTGAGGTAAACACTGACTTAGGGGCGCCTGAGTGGCTCAGTCGGGTAAGTGTCTGACTCCTGATTTTGGCTCCTGTAGTGATCTCAGGGTTGTAAGATCGAGCCCCATGTTGGGCTCTGTGCTGGGCATGGAGCCTGCTTAAGATTCTGTCTCCCTCTCCTGCTCCTCTCTGCCCTATCTTGAAAACAAACAAACAAACAAACAAAACCTGACTTAGGATGAGGTCACTGTATTCCTGGATCAATCTTCTTTCCAAGTGTACTTCTCAGTTGGAAATAGGCTAGATCCTGCTATTAACGCTGTGATTAGACTTGAGATAGGAGAGTATTTTAGCTATTTTAGTAAACTCACTGTTTCTTTATAGAAATCCTTTATAATTGGTGATTTTATGTAGTTTCTACCTGACTAGTCCAACCATTGCTTTCTTCATTGCTTTATACTCAAAACACCTGGTACAGTCTATGCAAAGCCTCTCTTTAGTTTTTCTTTGAAGACTTTCTTACAAAGCAGGAAAAAAGAGGTGATTGACATTCAAGGGTGGATAAGTAAGGAAATATTTTGGTAGGCATGAGGGTGGATTTTGGATGCGGGCAGTGTGACTGGTGGTTAAGAACACGAGCTCTGTATCTCAAGTCCCACCTTCCACTCCTGCCTCACTGTGTGTCCACAGCCCATTCTTCTCTCTCTCCCAGTGTACTCACCTATAAATATGCAGAAAAGTAGATATTCCTTATAATGCTGTTAATATGAGTTAATATGTATAGAATTAATATGTATAAAGTACTTAGAATGGAGATTATCTTGCATTCAATTCCATCTAATTATTAGAATATTTTATAGGTGGTCCACTCACCTTATAGAAAATATAGGGCAACTGCAATGGTCTTCACATATTTGAAGGGTTCTCATGTCAGAGAAACAGAGGATACACCTTGGGAGCTCCAGGAATGGTGAATACAAGTTAGGACAGCAAGCATTGTTTCACAGTTGCTCAGGGAGGAAATAAGTTATGAATACCTTATCACTCGATGGTATTCCAGCAGATCTGGATATGAAATTTTTATAAGCATTAAAAGCATTCTCATTTTATAGTGAATTTTTAAAATTAATAACCACACTGTTGAGAGAGATAGTCTGCCCTGGGCCTTGAGCACCCTCTCCAGTGTTGGTCAGTGTGTCAGAAAGCAAAGCATATGTGCTCAGTCATACAGGCCGTTAGGTAGCTCAAGGAGACCACAGAGCAAATGCCTGGCGGGGGGGCAGGGGGGGAGCAGTGGCTTCTCTGCTTCTTGGTGCAGCGTTTGCTGATTGCTCAAAAAAATACTTGACTCCCGACCAGTTTCTCTCCTCCAACACAACACACTGCACATGTAAGCGTGCATGTAGTTTCCCCTGTGTTGGCCCCTCCTACCCACCATGGGACATAGTCAGACGTGAACCTCTGGATACTGTGTGTGGCGTGAGTCATGAAGTCTTCTGTCTCAGATCCAGGAATCTCTTGTCTTCCACGCCTATCCATGAAATAGTAACTAGCTAACCTGTTAGTTTGTAAATAGAGCAAAATCCTTGAAGCTTCAACAGTGCTGGACCCACACAAATCACGACTTTCCTTGCCTGCTTAATACTGTAGTCACTGTGCTAAGCCCTTGGTGTGCATGATGCTAGAAATCTCTCAGTAGAGGCCTTTCTTGCAGATTGGTTTTAGAGAATGCTTCTTTCACTTGCCCCGGGGTGCCAAAGCCGGCATCAAAGTGCAGTTTTCTGACTCAGACACATAAGCTCCTGGCCCCCTGCTGTCTCTCATCGATATACCTTTTCACCTACTTCAAAGTCTCTTCATTGAGGGGGTGCCTGGGGAGCTCTGTCGGTTCAGCGTCTGCCTTCGGCTCAGGTCGTGATCCTGGGGTCCTGGGATCGAGTCCCACATCGGGCTCCCTGCTTAGTGGGGAGGCTGCTTCTCCCTCTCCCTCTGCTGCTCCCCCTGCTTGTGCTTTCTCTCTCTCTTTGTCTAATAAATAAATAAAATCTTTAAAAAAAAAATCTCCTCATTGAATAAAACATCATCATCCAGAGCTCAAGGAAAGTAAAACTGACCTCACATTTCTGTAAATATGTTCTTCAGCTCTTCCTCAGGCCTTTCCCTCAACCCTGGACCTAATGTAGCCCATTTACTGGTCTTATTTTATCCACATTTTTCTAGACTCTGTGGTAAAGTGGGAAGATAAGGTCCAGAGATGGGCTGCAAACAGTGAGACCTTGTGGTCACATGACTCTCTTCCTCCCCTAATGAATGTTAATCTACCAAATCATTTGCATTTCTATATACAGCAACAGGAGATTGAAATAAAAAATTCATTTGTAATGACATAAAAAGATCAAAATAAATCTAACATTATTTGCAAGACTTTAATGCCAAAAGTTATAAAATACTGAGAAATTAATGATCAAAATAAATGGAGATATATACTGTGCTTATGGATGACAGAATTCAACATTGTTAATATGTAAATTCTCTCCAAGTTGATTGATCAGTTGAGCAGAATGCTAATCAAAGTCCCAGTAGGCATGTTTATAAAAATTGACAAATACATTTTAAAATCTATATGAAAATGCTAATGATCTTGAATAGCTAAAACAAAAGAAAACAAAGCTGGATGAGTCAAAGTACTTGATTTCAAGTCTTACTGTGCAGGTACATTAGTCAAGACAATGTAATAGGTGTATGACTAGACTATTATATCAATGGAACACAATGGAACATCCCCAAATAGACCCATACATATATGGCCAATTGAATCTTAACAAAGGTATCTTAGATAATTGGCTGGGGAAAGATGTTCTTTTCAAAAATGATGCTGAAACATTTGGACAGCCATATGAAAACATAACAAACCCCGACTCGTACATAGCACCATATGCAAAAACTACTCACGATGCATCATAGACCCAAATGTAAAGCATGAAACTATGAAATTTCTGGAATAAAACCTAGGAGGAAACCTTTTTGACCTTGGGTTAGGGAAAGAGTTTTTAAATAAGACACAAGAAGCCCAAGGCATAGGCAAAAAAAAAAAAATGTTCTTTGAAACACACTTACACTTATGCTTGACAACTGGACAAACCCAAATGTTTGGTGAATGGACAACCCAAGTGTAGTGCATTCTCCAGGAGACTATCACTCAGCACTAAAAACCAAACCATTGTATATAGAGCAGCATGAATGAACTCAAAACCATGATATTAGCTTCCTTTCGGCCGGAACTGCCATCTTCCAGTAATTCGCCAAAATGACCAACACAAAGGGAAAGAGGAGAGGTACCTGCTATATGTTCTCTAGGCCTTTTAGAAAACATGGAGTTGTTCCTTTGGCCACATACATGTGAATCTATAAGAAAGTTGATATTGTGGACATCAAGGGAATGGGCACTGTTCAAAAAGGAATGCCCCACAAATGTTACCATGGCAAAACTGGAAGAGTCTACAGTGTTACTCAGCATGCTGTTGGCATTGTTGTAAACAAAAAGTTAAGGGCAAGATTCTTGCCAAGAGAATTAATGTACGCATTGAGCATATTAAACACTCAAAGAGCCGAGATAGCTTCCTGAAGCGTGTGAAGGAAAATGATCAGGAAAAGAAGGAAGCCAAAGAGAAAGGTACTTGGGTTCAAGTGAAGCGCCAACCTGCCCCACCCAGAGAAACACACTTTGTGAGAACCAATGGAGAGGAGCCTGAACTGCTGGAACCCATTCCCTGTGAACTCATGGCATGAAAAATGTAAAGAAAATAAAAAGACCTCAAGACTGTAAAAACAAACAAAAAAAACCATGATGTTAAGTCCGTGAAGGCAGATACAAACAGCTACATGCTCTGTGATCCCTTTCATAGGACATTTTAGAAAAGGTCAAACTGTAGTGAAAAATAATTATCAGTGGTTGCAAGGGGCAGGAGGCTAGTGGAGACAATGGGTTCCAAAGAGCAGGCACAAAGAGATGGTTGGGAGTGATACAAATCCCGTATATCACAGGTTACGTGGGTTACACACACACGTATATATTTAACCACGTGTAACTATATATATATTTGACATAGACATCTACAGGACATGAACATCTACACAAAGTGAAACTTACCGTATGCGGATAATACCATAATAAACCTGAATTTTTTTAAAAACCAAAAAGTACATTTAAGCATTAATTAGAATCATAAGTGCTGTTGTAGAATACATGAAATAATTACGTTTATATGTATTGCACTTGATTAAATATGTATGTCTTTCTGCTCGTAGGGTAACATTTAGGGAAATGCATTTTTAAATCTTACTATCATAATGTGTTACAATGCAAATTAAACATTTAGATTGTGCTTATTTTTTATGGACATTACATAATAATAGCTTTCTTTTGGCAATGATGATGTCTTCGGAACAACAAAAAAAATGAAGTAGCTTTTATTTTTTGCCTAGTTTGAGCTGTAATGAAGTAAGGAGTTATTGCTTGCAGTATTGGAATCCTTGAGCACATCATTCCTCTCTACTGCCCCTAATATTATTTTGTTACAAACTCTAAATATTACCCATGATTCCATATTTTAAGTTGTATATGAACGCTATTTTAATTAATTGTATAATTTGTGCCTTCACTTGTTTGCAATTCACTTTCACCTTTAAATATCTTGCTTAGTTCAGTCGTGCATTCAACCTTAGCTTATAAATTGCTTATTGATTTGTCTCCTACAGTCATATATACATTTGTAAACATTTTCTTCTCAAGTTGAAGTGAATATATTTTTCTTTTAAAGTTGAAATTGAATGGAAGTTAGAACTAATAGAAAGTTGACAGATTCCCCATTGACCGTTTTTTTTTCCCCTGTGGGTCAAGAAGTGGTTTCTTATCTGAATAAAACAACTTTCTATAACTGAGCTGTCCTGTTGTGGTTCTTTTTGATTAATATGGCAATGTTAGCAGAAGACTAATTATAGTATGGATTATTTTCCATAGCAGTCCCCTGGTGTTGCCAATTGCCAAGCAAGACAGTATGTTGGAGAAAGACATTATGTTCAAAGATGTCACAAAAGGTCTATGCAAGCGACAGTCTCACGACAGCATCCCTGAAAATGCTACCATGAACGGCCCCACAAAACCTGAGCAGGTAAGTACACCTTTACTGCATGCCTGCTTATTACGTCATCCTTATAAATCCAACATTTTAACACCAAACACCCACAAATTTCCATTCAAAGAAAGATTCATGAATGCAAAGGTTAATAGTTTTTTAAATTCCCATATATAAACTGTTATATTGACCATTAACAAACATAGCTGCTATTGTGTTGTACAAGGATTTGAATTTTATATATATCCTGACTTACATATCAAGAATGTAAGCTCAGCCGGTATGCTAATTCCCGAATATTTCCAGTTATGTCCTTAGTCCTCATTTTGATTATTATGTAGGGTATGCTTTTTGTTTCCTTCAAAGATCCAATATTTCACATAACAAGAAAGGAAAATCAATCACTAAGAGTCATTTATGAAAAGTATCTGTTGGTGTGTAACTGTGTGTGGGGGGGGGCGGTGTCTGTGCGTGCCACAGTGCCCACGTTATGGGAGATCACTTTGATGAGCTTGGGGTTATAGAAATTAGTACATTTCCCTAGAGAAATCAATGATTTTTATATGCTTCATGTTTTATAAATGGCAGAGTAATTTTATAAATGTCAGCATAATCCTTGAAACTGGTGTGTTTCACTGTATCTTATTTTGAATATATTAAAGACATTTTAGCTCGATTTTTCTAAGACTATCTTTTCAAGATTTAATTTTAGTTTCATTAATTTTTATTATTTCAAAATAACTAATAAATATTTTTTGTAATTTTGAGGTACTTTTAAATTTCAGTAGGTGTATTTGTCAGCTTAGGCTGCTGTAACAAAATATGACAAACTGGGGTGCTTAGGCAACAGTTTATTTTTCACAGTTCTGGAGACTTGAAGTACAAGATCAAGGTGTCTGCTGGTAAGGTTTCTGATGAACGTCCCCTTCCTGGCTGCTTTCTCCCTGTGTTCTTGTGTGGGGAGTAGGGCGTGGGGGAGGAAACAGAGACAGAGAGAGGAATGAACTGTCTGGTGTTTCTTGTAAGCATGCCAGTCTGTGGGATCAGGGCCCCACCCCTAGGACCTCCTTTAACCTTCATTACCTCCTTAAGACCCCATCTCCAAAGAGTCACATTGAGAGCCTCCACACATGAATTTAGAGGAATGCAGTTCAGTCCATAGCAGTAGGCAAATTGAATGTTAGGTAAGATGTAAGGCAAAGTTCTTTCTTAACTTTTGTAAGGGTCCTGTGAACTTCCTATAACCTTAAATGCATATTACTGAGTGAAAGAAGCTGATCTGAAAAGGACATATACAGCATGATTCTAGTATTTGACATTCTGGAAAAGGCAAAACCATGGAGACAGTAAAAAGATCACTGGTTGCCTGGGTTGGTCGGGGGAGGGATGAAGAGGTGGAGCCCAGAGGATTTTTAGGGCATTGAAACTGCTCTGTATGATTTTGTAGTCATGGATGCATGTCATTATACATGTGTCTAAACTCCCAGAATGTACAACACCCAGAGTGAGCCCTGATGTACAGCATGGACTTGGGGTGATGGTGACGTGTCCATGTAGGTTCACCTGTAAGAAATGCCATCATTCTGGTGGGGAGTATTAGTAGTGGGGAAGGCTGTGCACCAGTGGGGACAGGGGTATATGGGAAATCTCTGTACCTTCCTCTCAATTTTGCTGTGAATCTAAAACTGCTCTAAAAAATTAAGATCTTAGGGGCACTTGGGTGGCTCAGTCAGTTAAGCGTTCAAGTCTTGGTTTTGGCTCAGGTCATGATCTCAGTCTGGGTCCTGAGATGGAGCCCTTCGTGGGGCTCTGTGCTCAGCGGGGAGTTTGCTTGAGATTCTCTCTCTCTGCCTCCCTCTGCCCCTTCCCCCCATCACACGCATGTTCTCTCTCTCTCTCTAATAAATAAAATAAAATCTTAAAAAAAATTTTAAAATTAAAATCTTAAAAAAAGAGAAGATACAACATGATGTCAAGTATAAGCCTTATAGAATAGCCTTTCTGAATTTAATGTTAAGCTCTTTATAATTATACAATTTATAATTATATCCTAGACATTAAAGGCAGTTGCAATCATGTTCTGTTTGTTTGGTACTGAAGAGGGAGCAGCTGTTATTCAGCTTTTGCATTCATACATTATCGATGGAACATTTATTGGCTCTCATCTCCCACTGTGGGCACCGTGGGCATCTCTTCTTGGCCGTGAGGTGCGTGGGTGATTCTCTCCCATGGAAGACCAACATTATCCACTGACTGGATTATATTTTCACATTTCTTAAGAGAGCTTCAGAGAAGACTTGTCAAAGCAAGAACATTCTGATTAACATCTTAAGGAGAAATATGTAATGTAGAAAATTTTTTAAAAAATTGAAACAAAAGCCACAGAATCTCTCCTTCCAGATTTTTATAAAATGGAGGTTTTATCAAATGGTAACTGTGTGAGTGAATATTCAAGGTTTGATTTAAACTTTTTTTGGTTCTGATAATCACCAAAATATCTCTGAGAAGGTAGAATTTTTCTTCAGTTGCTTAAAAGTGTGCAAGACATTCTTCCTTTAAATTCCTTTCCACTCTGCCTTTCCCTCTCTTTCTCCTCCCCCGCCTTCTTCCTTCCTTCTCTCTCTAATTGTCTGACTTCTTTTCCCCCCTCTCCCTTCCTCCACTTCCTTCCTTTGTGAGTATGTTTCTTTAAATTTAGTTCACACTTGAAATCTCAATTTTATTCCACTGAGTGAAGGCACATTAGTCTGGGAGTTCAGAGAAAGGCAGATGCTCTGGCTAGGTCTGCTGCTGAAAGTCTATGACTTGGAGGTTCCTTGACCTCATAAGCCCCATCTGTGAAATGGGTACACGATATAGGTCTCACAGGGTTGTTACGGAGCTGACAGAAATGAGGGCTATATGGTTATAACACATTTGCCAAGAACAGAGTAAAAATGCGCTAAGATGCATTCATGTTTTTATTGTTACTGATATAGACTGACTGTATGTTAGGTTTATCCAGAATGGCTGAATTTATCTGCTCTTGATGTAATTCCAGTCAACACATCCACTGCGCTTTATTTTTATCAGTGCAAACATAGATGACCTTAGACAATAATAATGCAAAATTATACTTTATATGAACATTGCAATGCTTAAACATGCATTCACCTGCATTGTCTTAATCCTCAAAATACCACTGTGGGCAAGTTATTATCCCTTTTCATTACTTAACTTACATTCAGTTTACAGATTAAGTTTTTTTTTAAGATTTATTTATTCATTTGGGGGAGAGAGAGAGTGTGCACGCATGTGCACACACATGCGTGCAAGCGGGGGAGGGGCAGAGGGGGAGGGAGAGCAGACTCCCCGCTAAGTGCAGAGCCCCCTATACAGAGCTCCATCCCACGACCCTGAGATCATGACCTGAGCTGAAATCAAGAGTCGGACGCCCGACCCACTGAACCACCCAGGCGCCCTGCAAATTAAGTTATAAAATGATCAAACTCCAGAACTGTAAGCAAATTGCTGAGAATCACAAGTATTTCTTTTACGCTGGATCCCGTTCTGTATTGGGGGCACTGCAAGGAGCATATTCCGGAGCCCCGTGGACCTGTGATGGTTCTATAAACAGGGGAGGAGGTTGGCAGTCCACGGCTGCATGTGTGATGCAGGGGTTTTGAAGATGGGTGAGAATTCTCTTCCTGTGGTCCACAGACACACCCATCTCCATGTACACGAAAGTGTAAATCCTCGGCCAGGCAAAGCACTAGTAGGTAAAAGGACCTGATAGGTTTTATTGTCGTACAAACATCTAACAGAAGAACAGAAGCAGGGGGGAATAATTAAAATGCTGTCTGGGCATGGGGATGAGCTTAAGCTTTGGAAAACAGTATTTGTCAGATTATCACCCTTTTCCCTGCTAAGACCATCCCGGTCACCTCGTTTCTCTCCTGACTTCCTCTTTCCTCTTTATTCATGAATACTCGGTTGTTTCCTCTCCTCAAGATACTGTTTTTCTTCTCCCATTTGTCAGACCACCTCTTTTATCTATTGGACTTGTAGTTTCTGCACACATACTGCTCATCTCCCAGAGGGGAAGTCACAAACGAACAAAACAGTAAAGTGGACGGCCACGCAGTGTTGACAAGTGGAGACCAGGAATCGGGGAAGTCCGATTATTCCCAAACGTTAAGTTCCCTTTGGGTCTCGAAACATTTCTCAAAGTGTTTCGCTGAAGTTTGTCCTGACTTTCTATCCTGAACGATTTCTAGTTTATGTTCTAGATCTCTCCTTTTACAGAGATAGATAGGGATATATATCTTCATAGAAATCATAGTGGTCAGTCCTAGAGAGAGGATGTTAATCTTTTTTACGTATTTATCCCATCTCTGTTTTGCCTTGTTGTAATTGTTTGGCGGACTTTGGCAGTAGACGTTATCCAGCCGACAACTATAACATAAAAATATTCAGAGGTGCCTTTTTCTTTTTCTTTCCACTTGCTAGCAGGTGTCCCCGGGCTTTTGAAATCCTTATAAAGAATGTGTCCCTTTGATGGCCTTGCTTAACATCGATTAGGAAGGCCTCCTTCCTGATCCTTTTGGGATCCTGATGTGATAAATGCAAGGAATGCTTCCCTTGACCGGCTCTCCCACTGGATTTGTCACATTTCACATTACTGCTAGGGTGTCTTCCCATTTTTACTGTCAGCCTAGTATTTTCCCTAACCCGAGAAACAGCTGTGCCACTGTAGATGGAAATCCTCAAGAATACCAACGAGATGTCTGCAGTAACTCTTTCGGGCTTGTCGGAACAAATGTGGGACTTCTGTTAGTACTCTTCATGCTTTTTCTAAACATACACCCAGAAATTTGCATTGAGCTTGTTAGCGCTGTGGTTATAAGAGGAAGTTTATTATCTAAGAAATGTAAACCATTTCTTCTAAAGAAAAAATCTTGCTTTTGATTTGTCCCCTTTTTATGATGCTTTGGGAGTTAAATATGTATGCTAACTTGATGGAGACTTTTGTTTTATTTTTGCATTGTTCAAAGTTATTGCAATCCATTATTGGTTTGTACCATATCATGTATATGCATGAATGTATATATATGCGTATATTAGCTTGTACGTGTATAATGTGTATGGATGTACATTTGCACATCCATATCCATTTTCTGGGGTGCATATCTGTGTGTATGTCGATGTATACATTTTTTACTTTCAGGAAATGCTTGCAAAGACACTGGAAAGAGGATATTTACATCCGTCTCTAAATTGATAATGAAAGTTTCCTTTTATGTCTCTCTCTATAAAGACTTTTGCCAGTAGGCTTTTTATTTCTTGGAAATACATGCTTACCCATTTGTACTTATTTCCTGAATTCCTTTCATATTTAAGGGCACACACTTACGTCTGTGATCTTGGATACGGTGCAGTTGTCTCTCAGTATAAGTAAACCTTAGATCTCATCTCCCAGGGTCACGAGTAGTAAATCCAGCGCAGATCCTGGCCACGGTGAGTGTGACAGCTCTTCTTGTAGCCTCAGCATCTGTCCCCGGGTGCATCTCTCTTCCCTTCCACCACCACCTGCCCTGTTTCCTCCCGCCCTGCAGCTCACAGGCAGGACCTTCGGGCCCTTACCGAGTTCTTCCTTCTGCCTGCGCATCTTCTCGCGCACCCCATGGGATGGCCTTGCCGGATCAGGTCCAGGTGCAGCTTTGCTCCATCTCATCTGGGAGGACTTCTAACCACCCAAGCGAGAGTGCACTTTTTCACTTTTCACAGCATCCTCTTGTTTTCCCTCGTAACACCTTTTACAACTGCAGTTTCTTACTTGCGTCCGTCCTTCTTCCCCAGTGAACTGTCAACACTCTTGAGGTACAAGACCACATCCTTTTGCTCCCTCCCTGTACCAAACCTCTAGCGCAGCGCCTGGCAAAGAGCCCGTGAGCCAGGAAAAGAAAGGGGAGTGATTGAATATATGTTGTCAGTTTATTCGTTATCTGCTAGACTTTCTCCACTGTTCCCTGATGGGTATTGTCCCAGCTTCCCCTTCTGACCTATCCGCTGTGTGACCCCAGGGAAACTGTGTGACCTTTCTGGGCCGTAAGTTCTGCATCTACTGTTGGATTATATCCACGAGTTTCAAACTTTTCAAAATTATTATTTCACAGCAGATTCTTTCCCAGAACAATATGTGAAAGAGAATTCCAGTTTTTAGAGCAGGTGAAAGCTGAGGGTCTCTGCTGAGAGCTGCACAGATTGGCCCAGAGCCCTCTGCAGATTTGCTCCCCCTTCCTCCAAAGGCAACCCTCAGGGAAGTTGGCAGAAAATTTACCTGTGGTGCTCACGGCCCTCTCCAGATGTTTCGCTAGATAACGATGCACCCCGTTACTGCACACTTACCTGCACACCCGACACCTTGCTGGGCCTCCATGCAAACTCATCCTCACAGCCTCCTGTGAGGGACACACCATCATCTTCCGTATTATGAAAGACAATGAAAGTGACTTACGGAAGAAAAAGGTTCAGGGTCCCCCAGCCGGGAAGATCCGCCACTGAGATTTAAACACATTCACCCCCATGAGTACAAAAGTAATCGATGCCTTAGATGTGCTTCAGTTTCCAGCATTTTTAAGGTGGGGAAGCTCAGTTTGGTGTGTAAGATTTTTACCCAAATCAGCATGACTGATGAAAAATGCAGAGTGGAATGCTGCCTGGGTCAACAGACTGCTGGTCACTTCCCCGGCAGCATTTCGGGCCTATGAGACTCTTCAAAGTAGAACTAAGTGTTTAATGTGAAAAAAACAAAAACAAAAACAACACAACAGATATCACACAATCCCAGAATTGATTTTGACAACCCAGAAGAGTATCAGGAAAGGAGGGGCATGATGACTTCAATTTTTATCAGCCACAAGTACCAGCTTTTGGATTCTACTCTTTTTTTTTTTTTATTCTTATGTTAATCCCCATACATTACATCATTAGTTTTAGATGTAGTGTTCCATGATTCATTGTTTGTGCATAACACCCAGTGCTCCATGCAGAATGTGCCCTCCTCAATACCCACCACCAGGCTAACCCATCCTCCCACCCCCCTCCCCTCTAGAACCCTCAGTTTGTTTTTCAGAGTCCATTGTCTCTCATGGTTCATCTACCCCTCCGATTTCCCCCGCTTCATTCTTCCCCTCTTGCTACCTTCTTCTTCTTCTTCTTCTTTTTTTTTTCTTAACATATATTGCATTATTTGTTTCAGAGGTACAGATCTGAGATTCAACAGTCTTGCACAATTCACAGCGCTTACCAGAGCACATACCCTCCCCAGTGTCTATCATCCAGTCACCCCATCCCTCCCACCCCACCCCCCACTCCAGCAACCCTCAGTTTGTTTCCTGCGATTAAGAATTCCTCATATCAGTGAGATCATATGATACATGTCTTTCTCTGTTTGACTTATTTCGCTCAACATAATACCCTCCAGTTCCATCCAGGTCGTTGCAAACGGCAAGATCTCATTCCTTTTGATGGCTGCATAATATTCCATTGTATATATATACCACATCTTCTTTATCCATTCATCTGTCGATGGACATCTTGGCTCTTTCCACAGTTTGGCTATTGTGGACATTGCTGCTATAAACATCGGGGTGCCTGTACCCTTTCGGATCCCTACTTTTGTATCTTTGGGGTAAATACCCAGGAGTGCAATTGCTGGATCATATGGTAGCTCTATTTTCAACTTTTTGAGGAACCTCCATACTGTTTTTGGATTCTACTCTTGACTGTTTAAGTAAATATTTCTGACAGTATCAAGGTCTTCCAGCTATGCCTCTAACTAATTAAAGTTAATTGATTGACTAATTTTAATGAGACTATGTAATATGCTCCTTACAGGTTAATTCTGAAGGGTATTTTGAGGCCTGTTTCTTTTAAATGCTGCAAAAGCAAGGAATATGGACTCAGAGTGTTGGCTGAGTGTGTGCATGGTTTGGGGCGAGGAGAGGTTGGTTCTTGACCTTCATGAAGTCTGGAGTATTTTACAAATCAACTTTTAGTACATAAACAACTTCCTTTTGGAAGATGGTGTTTACCGCTTACATAAATGGTGGTATTTCTCATACCAGAGCCCACTGTGTGATACCTGTCTAACTGGAAGACATAACAAGCCACTCTTCTGACCACTTAACGATTCCCAGGAAAGAATTTGAGTTTCCATTATGAATATATTAGGATTACAAGCAGCCTGGGAAAGCACTGACTTGAATTTATGAACTCCTGAGAAAGATTGCATTTTGCGAACCAGTCACTCATATCAGAGAGATCATCCTACATTTAGATTTTTTTTAATGTGTAGTATTTGTCAATGCCATAAACATTGAGCTGATAAAACAGTAATATTTAAGTTCAAATTCTTTAACAGTGATACATACAATGTTAAGATATGTAATGCAAATATAAATACAAAAGGCAATGCAAATATAGAATACAAACACGAATACAAATGACGCAAATAAACTTGCTGTTATTAAAAATTCACTATGGGCACCAATGAACTCGCAGAGGCTTTGATAAGAATATTCTTGGTCTTTGGCTCCTCTGTGTTTGACAAAAGAAAACCAAAGCTGTTCTCGTAGATCAAGCATCTGTTTTGCACAACGTATCTTGTGTATGTAAAATTAAACGTGGTCCGTTCCTTAACTTGTGAATGATAGATGACCGTCTAATTAAATCACCCAAATTCATCTTTTTTATTTGAAATATTTCCCAGTTTTTTTAACGCTGTCATTTTCTATTAAGTTGAATAGGGAAACATGTTTTTCGTTATCACAGAATTATCTTAATCTCACAGCTACTTTCATTGTAGGAGTTATGTAGAAAAGAATAAAAGATCCCAAGCCAAAATTCTAGAGTCTTCTTTCAAAATCTGGCCTCCTCCTACATGTATGCGGAAACTAAATTCCAGGCACACTGGTTCCTTCACCATGCCAACAACAGTAATAGGAGAAGTTTTGCTTTAGCTTTGGAAACACTGCAGATACGTGAGCTTTTCAGCTGCTGGTCGTAGAGGATGCAGAACAGCTCAGAGCTGTCTACATTTTAAGTGGGGACTAGGAAAGTCGACGTGCTGAAATGATTTTGGCAGACTGATGCCTTTGCAGGACGGAAGGTAGCACTGGGGGGGTTCTTGTGTTAGTGTGTGTGAGCGCACCCACAGACATAGGACAGAAATTCTCATCTGAATACATTTCTCTGTGGCTGTTGTTCCTTCTAAGTGAACCATTTCATCTTTTAATAATGGTTTCAAACTCACGTGGTCTTTAAACTTTTGACATGTAATTGGAAATGGAACATCCGACTGTGAAGAAATTGGAAAGCAATTAGAATTGCTCTTATTTCATTTTTTCCCCAGGTCAAGCTGATGCCTCCCGCTCCCAGTGATGACCTGGCGACGCTGAGCGAGCTGAACGATGGCAGCCTGCTTTATGAAATTCAGAAGCGCTTTGGGAACAATCAGATATATGTAAGTGCCCTTGAACCTGCCTTGTGGGCTGCTTTGTCTTGCTGCTGATTTTCCCCTCCAGGCTGCAGATATTACAAGGAGGGGGCTTTTTGTTGTTTCTGGTCTTGCAGATAGCTTAAGGTCGATTTCTTGGAGTTCAGGTTCATTCTGATTCAGTTCTAAGGCAAGGTCAGCAAAGATCCAAATTTCAGAGTTGTTAAGTGAAGGTTAATACCCTACGGGTTGACAACTATCCTGATGTCGAGTGTGCTGTGGAAGAAGATCTTGCTAGAAACAGCAGGATCTGCAAGTCACTTCTAAAAATGCTGTTTGTTTCCTGTACTTAGCCTGCTAGATCTGGAAAAGGAAGCTAAAGAGGGAAAGTTCACTCCTCTTGGAGGATGTCCTCTCTATCTGCATGAAAAGAGAAACTGCTGTCCCTTTAAGTTATCAGGAAATGCTTTGTAAAGTAAATAATTTATACACCAATCTCTGATAACAGGGTAGGAATATATGACTCAGATGACAAACAGCACAGAGAATTAATTTGCTGTGGTTCTGCCCCGGTTTATATGTGTTATTTCACCCAGTATGCAGAACAATTTAGACACCATGTCATCTCAGTCCCTGTCTCTGTCTGTCTGTCTCCCTCTCCTTGATTTTGTGATATTCAACTCAAAGCAATTCAATCAGAATGTCTATAGAGAGATCTGATTATGCCCATATGTGCTATCCCTTTTTGATAACACTCTTTTTTCCCTAGTCTACTGAGAAATTGATTAAGTAATTTTCATGTAAATGCAAAGCCTAAGAGTTTCTTCTGAGTAATAAATCGTCAGGTGCTGATTAGCCTATGAAAATTCAGTGCAGCATCTTAATGCTTGGATAAATTGCCTGCCACTGGAAATACACTTAAAATTAAATGTTTCTATCAAAATGAATGGGATTGAGTCATTGGCATAAAGTGGTGAAAGCTGATTAACTTTGCTCCCTGGGACAGCCCTGTTATTTGTGTGTTAGTTTTATTCATTTTCCCACCTTTCCAACATGGTGCTGATCCTTTTTCTCCTCTACCTTCTCCTCCTCCTTCCTACCTTCTTAGTTACATTACCAGAAGACCATTCCTTGAATTGTGTTGCATTTCTTTTTTCCTTCATGCTTCTTGAATGCCTCTGTCTCCCAAACATCCACTTAATCTATCCTCCACCTTGGGGGTCACCATCCTCATCAAGGCTACTGCCATCTCGTCTCAACAGCCTCCTAACCATGCAGAGGAAACCTTGTTCCCTTTCAGTCTGATCTCACCGGGAGCTGGAGTCATTCTTATCATGAACAAATGGAATCTTGACACTCCCAGTCTTAAGACGTCTCTGTGGCTTATCCCTTCTCATGGGAGGATGACCACAATCTTCACTCACGATCCGGGCCCTAGATACTAGTTGGTGCTCTCAGCCACCGGGCAGTTGCCCTCCTGTCTGTGTCAGGATTTTCCTTGGGCTGTTTTTCTTCCCCCTAAGCTTCTCTTTCTACCCCATGGAGTAAACACTTAGCTTTATAAACTCCCATTCGGAAGTTCTTCAGACTTTCTGATTGAAGTCATGATGGATCTTTCTTCTCACAGCTTGTGATGATCTATTTCACTGGTGATTTGATGAGTGTACAGTTGCTGTGGTGGACTCTGGCTCAGTGACAAAGGGATCCATGCTGGGTTTGCTCACTGTGAGGCCTGGTCAAGCCCTTTCCAATCTCAAGTGACAAGTACTTCCTATCTGTTTATCAGAGTCATGGCTCCAACTCCTCTGCACGCTAGGCCATCTTCTTAGATATTTTCTGCCCACTGGGTTTCCCTTTTCTTTCTGGATCATGCTTTGCTAAAGTTCACGTCAAATATAAATTTGCCACTGTGTGAGACATGATCTTCCTCTTCTCCATACCTGAAATATTGAAGAGCTAAATTGTCTGGGATGAATTTTGTGATGAGTGTGCTAAGTTATGTTATTTGAACTCGCCTTTAATGGATAGACAAGCCATTTAAACATTATTGATTAAATAATAACAAGTGATTCTTAAAGTGTATCCTGTGGACCATTGGAAGTATGAACTTTTTATTACTGTTCTGCCCTGAGAGTAAGCATTTAGAACCTCTTATGACAAGTTGATGGTTTCATTTCCTTCTGTTGAATCTAATAGGAATCCAGGCTTGCATTTTGTATGCCTTTGTCTTTTTCAATGCCATGTTTACAGGAATTCACTTTTATTACATTTTACAAAAGTGTCAGTCCACGATGAATTGGAAATAGAAGTATTCCTTCTCACAAATAAAAAAACACTGGTTTCAGTGGATGTTGTGTTCAGAGTTGGTCAGCTCACCTCCATACCCACTCTCCCTACAGGCCCCTCCCTTCCCCTCTTACTCTTCTCCCAGTTTCAGGCTGAAGTACCTGGTTAGAGTGTTGAGACTGGTCTTTCTTCAGTGTCCCGCATTTGGTTTTACTGCAAATCTCGGCAGCCCTCCTTCCAAAATACACGGACACTACTGTCGCCAGTCCATCAGGGCCAACATAACACATGTCTGCTGAATTAATTGTCTAACCGGGATTTTCATCTCTTTTTGCTGTAATCTGACTGGTTATATAAGATGATCTTTCAAAACAGTCTATAAGTTGCCTCTTTTCTTTTTCTTCTCTTCTCTTCTCT